GTTGGCAACAAATCTGAAATTAGAATTCTAAGTCTAATACAAACATTTTGGTGTCCACACAAACTCACAAATCACAAAACATGTCAAATGGTCAGTATACCAATGACCACAGCTGAATGTTAAATAACCACTGAAACACAACATGAGAAAAAGGAAAGACAGCCAGGTAGCAAGTCATGATGCCAATGACGACTACATGTGAAGTGAGACAGTAAAGGCCAGACACAAACATGAATGCACAAAAGAAATGGGCAGTCCAACAGAGAGAAGAGCGAACCCCAGAAAGAGCTCCATTAGCTTACTGTGCAAATCTCTCCCCTCTAGACCAAGCTTTTCCTCCAGAAATATCACAGGGGCTGCGGGACAGATTCACATACATTTTCATCTAGTTATCCAAAGAGAGATACAGACCAAAATACGTTCATAAAGAAGACATAGAATTGGATCTGGAACACCAATTAAGTAACCAATTATTCTGGATTTCAAATATTCCATCCTATTGTGAACCCATGTGTCCCAATTTTGTTAAAAAAACAAACAAACAAACAAAAAACAAGGAAACTGGAGACACACACGGCAAGAGAAGAAGGGGATCAATTAGGGTGGGGGTGCGGGTGGGGTGGGGAGAAGCATTACTGGCAAAAAGTATGAAGCTACCAGAAGCCTCAACTTCTAATACTACCAACTACTACAGCAACAGTAAGAACACTGCTTGGCTTGTTCCAAAGCTTTGCACATTTCAAAGCATTTTTACGCTTTGAAATATAATGGAACAATAACCTTGGCAAAGCTGACAGTTGGACCTAGTTCTGTCTCCAGTGACTATCCATATTACTCAGTAAATTAACCTAACCAAACCCAATCTGCTCATTAGTAAAAGGAGCTTATCTTCATGGGCCCATACCAAAGGTCTTTTTTCATTGTAACTCCACTTATGTTAGCACAGTGTTAGGCACTAGCAAAAGGATCCTTCCAGAAGACTTTATTACCTATACTTCCCTGCGAAAATCACTAACTTCATGATGCCTCAATTACCCCACCTGCAAAACGGGGTTGTTGGCAGATTAGATGATTAACATAAAATGCTTTGTAAACCAGAGTGCAATACACAAACGTAAAGGGTCATTGTTTTTAGGCCTGGCAAATAGCAGCGACTCCCATCTCACCCCCAAAGGAAGTGAAAACACCAAAAAGGTTAAATGGCCAGTACCCAGTAAGGTCCGGTAAGAAACCAACAGCTACCCTCACCTCTTGACCCATAGATTGCTCGTCTCAATGTACCCTCCCAAAGTTCAAGGTCTCCCTACATCCCCCTAATCTTATATTCAGATAAGAGAAAGGAGGCTAAAAATGAAAGAGGGGCACGGGGCGGCCTAACACGACCCGCCCAAGGTCAAAACGTCAGGGCAGAAAAGGACAGCCGCTTGCCAGCAGCCAGGGCCGCTGTCCCCAGCC